TGATAGACAAAACTTCATTTTTTGACTAGCAGATTTAAAAATTAACAAAATCAATCACTTCTATTGGTTCTACCAGTTTCTCCTTGTGTTTTTCTCTCTTAACTAAGCAAATATGTTTGGCTTTGACTTAGCAACAGGTTGAGCCACTGTTTTATTTATTAGTGTAAAACTACTCTATCCTGTGCAGTTGTTCCCCACTCCCACCCGCTTTGGACCTTTACACAGTAACATGAAAAAGTATCCTGTTCACCAACTGATTGTTATATTTTAACATCCTTTTACTCTGCAGCCTTCTGTGCCATTTTAAATGTGCATTTAAAATGAGTTAGTAGTTAACTATTTAGATCGATTATAATGAAATTTTTGCTAGATTTAAATTAAACCATAAGGCTTGTTATATTTTTGTTGGTAAAATACATGTCTTACCTTGTATGGTGATAACATACGTGCAAGAGGCTGGGAAATCACCAGTTCCCGTTAACCCCAAATTTATGATACTTTCAATTTTTTGTTTTGTTTTTGAGTCTTTGTTTACCTCTTTTTTTTAAGAAAATCGCAAATTTTCTCAAAGAACTATTCTTTTCACCCTGACATAAACTTTATATTCTAAAACAGGTCCCCCCCCCCCCCCCCCCCCAAGGCTTATGAGGTGGATCAATGGGTAAAGGCACTTGCTTCGCTAACTCCTAGAACCCACATTAAACTGGGAAGGGAGAATCTTTTTTGTAGTATAACCCTCTGTGCACACCCCCCCCCCCAAACCGTGTGCCTGACCACCCAGCCATTCATTCATTTATTTATATTTTAATTGAAAATTTGATTCTTTTTCTGCTCGAGAGCTTTGAGATCTTTATTTTTGATAGTTCTTAAGATGATTTGTTTCCAGGATCTGATAGTAATTCTGTACTGTTTACTTAGTTTATAACTAAAACATTTTGGTTATTGAGATTGTATCGAAGTCCATTTATTTTTAAATATTTAACCATGTTTTGTTTATACTATTTAGAATATAAATGTTTGTTATAAAGAAAATAACTCTTTATTTTCTCTTTAGACATAATAACAGCTAGATAATCTTTGTTTTTTGTTTTTGCTTTTTTTTTTTTTGATACCAAATCATTATGTTCTTTGTTGTTGCTTTTATTATCTTAGTAATTTTCTGTGGTATCTTATGTCTTTCTCAAGGTGTTCTTTGACTTTTCTTTTGTCTTCTTCTCCTTGATTTGATCCCTATCATATTCTGGCATCCTTCTCTATCATGACATTTACACATGGTACTGTTGAATGCATACCTTTTTAAGCTGTTGTTTGAAGGCAAGTAGTTTGACTTCCTTAACTCTGTCTTTATACTGTTGAGTTACCTCATAGGGATACTGGTTTTTAAAGAGTCCACATGATACTCAGCATAAAACCAGTACCAGCTTAGCTGCCGTGGTATTTTTCTCATTGCTGAGAATTGAATCTGGGGACTCGCACACCAGACAAACACTCTGCCACTGCAATGCACACCCTCGTTGCTACCACAGAGATTTCAGTTGGAAGGTTTATCCTTTGAGCCATTTGTAAGATGAACAACTTCTGATACCATTTTTTTTTTTAAAAAAATTCTTTCTCTGTAGTCTTTTGCTATAATCTGTTCGTGCATATAACATTAGAAGGCTCATTGTGTATGGCAAGGAGGTGTTCCGTTTAGGGGGTTCTGGTCTAGAAGAGGTCTTTACCCACTAGCACAGAGCAAGGCAGTCTTCTAATCTTTGCTGTATGTCATTATGTCATAACTCAGGTGAGTTTTCATCCCATCCCATCACCCCCGTCACCCTTGTCCCCGCCCAGAGCTCTCCTTCACGTGAGTTCATTGTTCCGCTCTGTTCACCAGGACCATCTCTTTCACATATTAAAATGATTTATTTATGAAGGCGGTTAGATGCCTCAGAGAGTAAAGGAGCTTCCTGCCAAGCCTGATGAGTTTAATCTAGCAGGAGTGGAGTGAATCCTGCCGGTTGTCTTTTAACCTCTATACATGTGCCCTGGCAAACACATACACACACAATAAACATGAAAACAACTTAAAAAGTTATTACAGAGATTAATTCATGAATTCCTATTTTTGATGACATATTTTATGTAATTATTTTTGTGTTCAAACTGTCATGGATTGATTCTTCAAACTGTCTGCTATGTGTTAGGCTCTCATGTTCGAATACTTCATCACATACATACTAAACTTGTCTTAACATCTCTCCTGCCCCAGTCCTGGAATTGTTCTACTTCAATAAATCACCTGACTGGTGCAATGTCTGCTGAGCATATGTAATGGGGGAATGCTGATCCTGAATGTCTATTTCTGATTCATCCTGCTGAATTTTTTGCCTTCTTCTTTACAAACATTTCTTTCATGGTATGAATTATGAATTCCAGATCATAGATGCTTTCATTTAGTCACTCATTTAAAATGAGTTTGTTTGGGTTTTATTCCCTTTTCTTTTCATAAATTTTTTAAAAATATAATATATAGGATCTTAACATACTTTTCTATAGTCGAAACTTTTATGAAGTGTCTACTGAGAGAACTGTCACTACTTTCTTCTTAGAACTTGTACACTGGTTCTCCTAATCTCTTGTAAGTAACTAACTTCATTGTTTTCCAGGTTTTTTATTTTCCCCCTCTTACACTAAAAGCATATTATAAATAATCTTTTGTATATTATTTTTATGGAAAATAAACTGGAAATTCTTCCTATGAGTTTATAGAAGTGTTTTTAATATGGAAATTATATAAATTCATAGAGATTTTTAAAAAGGCATTTCCACAGCTTTGGTGCTATAGTTTATTTAACCAATGTCTTGTGTTTTCCAGGTGGTTATTGAATATATTGTTATTCAGGTGGTTTCCAGGGTTTCACATTACAGATGCTCCAGAAGTGTGTAACTTTGTGTGTGTGTATGTGTTAGAAATTGTCGCATAAATTCTTAAAAGTAAGATTACTGCCTCTGAAGTGTATGTATGTTTAGTTTTGACTTGTGCATGTTGCTGTGCCAAACACTGAGAGAGCTGCTGCTGTAGCTGCATTTGTCCCCATAGGGTCTTTTTCAAATATTGAATATTGGCCTCACATGGTTGAAAGATGACATCTCAGTGCACTTTCATTCTTCATCTCTTTCATGAAGAAAGATGATAATTTATTTTATTATTTGTTTAGCTCTTTTGGTTTTTGCCTCTGTATTTGGTTTGTTTGTAAACATTTTGATGCTTTCAAGAGATCTTAATAAACTAGAGACATACAGGCTATTACCATGCACTGTTTGATGTGCATGTTTTTCTTAATTTGTGAGTATGTTTTTTGACTTATTGTTTGACCATTCAAATGATTTACTTATTGAGACCGTATCACTGTGTAGTCCTGACTGTTTTAGTTCCTAGGCTACCAAGGAGTCAATGGATAAATAGCATTGCACAATGGTGGGATCAGGAGCCATGTTTTATAGAAACCACTCACTGCTTCTTCTCTCCCTTTCTTGTTGAAGCAGTGCTTTGAGGATGTCATAAAATGCATCTCAGTCATGTTCACTCCATTTCTCCAGTGCTTCCCACATCTGTTCCACTTCCCTACACCCAACACACACACTCTCTCTGTCTCTCTCTTTAGCCAGAAGAGTCTAGCGTACTGTTTATAAATTCTTGGATGTATGGCTTTCCACTGGAGTATAGTCAGCTTCAAATGGAGCCACTACAGTTGACTTGCAGTTTCTCGGCTTTAGGTATATTTGTTACCTTGGTCATCTGAATCCAGTCCAGCCTCTTTCAGACTTGTATTCCAGGTCTTTTGTGCAGAAGTATGCTATGTTCTAGCGGACAATGAGGACTGCTGAGAAGTCAGGATCAATGACACTGGGTTTTGTTCCTACTGCACGTACTGGCTTTGTAGGAGCCTAGGCAGTTTGGATGCTCACCTTACTAGACCTGGAAGGAGGTGGGAGGTCCTTGGACTTCCCACAAGGCAGGGAACCCGGACTGCTCTTTGGGCTGATGAGGGAGGGGGACTTGATTGGGAGAGGGGGAGAGATATGGGAGGCGGTGGAGGGGAGGAGACAGAAATCTTAAATAAATAAATAAATAAATAGAAAGAAAGAAAACAACATTAAAAAAAATAAGTGTGCTATGTTCTTTGAGCCAACAGTTTCATAACTGTGGCCTAGTTTTCTCTTCATAGTCCAAACTATCTTTCTTTCTCCAAATAAGCTTTATGTTTATCATCTTCTCCCAAGCCTGGGAAGAGGGGCAGAAAGATTTTAAGAGCCAGAGGCAGTAGGCAACTAAAAGATGTTAAAATTGAGAGGACATGCATAAGACCTGTACGACATCTAGCCAGATAAAAACCAAACATGTTAGGATACCCGGGCATGATGAAGTCCACCCTAGCTGAGGAGCTATTGGCAATTGATAACTGCTTGCACAAAAGGAAAAACAGTTTTCTTTAAAAGTATGTATCCTGGTAGATCTGCTTCCTACTTCTAGATTATATTTCATCTTTGAAATTTGTCTTTCTACGTTCTTGGTTTCTTCCATGTTTGCTTTCTTGATTATCTTCAATATCTATTTAAATTTTCCTCTTAATTTCAATGCAATTTTTTTGTGATCAATCACCATTTGGGACAAATTGCTTTTTCAAAAAAATGAATTGATGTGAAAAGTAATGAAAAATCCTCAAATGTTTCGTTCATTTCCAAAAGATTTACATCAAAAATCAGAACTGCAACTACAATAACTTTTTTTTTTTTAAATGTTGGTGGTGGTAGTGTTTTTTTTTTTTTTTTTTTTTTTTTGAGACAGGGTTTCTCTGTTTAACAGCCCTGGCTTTCCTGGAACTCACTCTGTAGACCAGGCTGGCCTCGTACTCACCACCATCTGCCTGCTTCTGCCTCCCAAGTGCTGAGATTAAAGGTGTGTGCCACCCCACCCCATGTATAAAAAACTTTTCATTTCTATTTTTTTATTCTAGAATTGCAGAATATGTATAGAGTGTGGTACACGATCTAGTGCACAGTGGCACCACAACTGTCTGATATGTGACACTTGTTATCAACAGCAGGATAATTTATGTCCTTTTTGTGGAAAGTGCTACAATCCTGAAATGCAGAAAGATATGCTCCATTGTAATATGTGTAAAAGGTAAGGTGAAATAGCTGCTCCATTTAGCTGTTTTGTTCATTCTTTGGTTTCTGTGATCGTCTGCACTCTTTTAGCCCCTTTCCTACTCTGTGCTGTTATAAATGGAATTGATTGTTTATGCCTTTTTTTTTTTTTTTGAGGTAGATTCTCTATGTATTCCTGGCTGGCCTAGATCTTGCTGTGTAGACCAGGCTAGCCTCAAACTCACAGAGATCTTCCTGCTTCTGCCTCCTGAGTTCTGGGATTAAAGGTGTGTTTCATAAGATACAGCACAGAAGCGAACAGACAAAATATAAGAATAGGCAAGGTTAGAAATGAGCATTGAGAGAAAATTCAAGAGAAGATAGTTTAAAAATAAGGAAGGAAAAATATGTCATTATAATGTCCTTAAGTGTCTTCTTCATTTTGAAAACCTTTGGTAGTTTTCTCTAACCATCTTTTCTCATTTTTAACCTTATCATAACCATTCTTTTTTTTGTAAGAAGTCAACTTTTCGTTTTTCATATAATATAATAATTTTGCTTTAAATTAGAGGTTTTTATATAAATTTATTTATTGCTGCAGATGGATTCACTTAGAATGTGATAAACCAACCAATCATGAATTGGATTCTCAGCCCAAAGAAGAATATATCTGTATGTATTGTAAACACCTAGGAGCTGAGATAGATTCCTTACATCCAGAAAATGAATTAGAGATGTCTGAACTACCTACAGGTAAGTGCGTATGCATGTGTGCATGCATGTTTTTTACTTTTTTGAAAAGCAATATATCGATTAGTAACCAACATATTACTTCATTAATAATGAAGGAAGTCTTTGTATCAAAACTCTTTGTAATTTCAGTTTCTCAAGCGTCTCATTCTCATCTTGTCTCCTCCTTTGTTTTTTTCTCACTATGTTGTACAGGTTAACGTTAGCCTCCCATATACTTGGATTATAAGTATGTACTATCACACTTAAAGTTTCTTAGCATTTGGTATATTTATTAACCTTGGTCATCTGAATCTGGTGACTAAATACAGTCTAGCCTCTTTCCAGCTTGTATTTCAGGTCTATCGTGCAGAAGTGTGCTATGTTCTTTGAACCAACAGTTTCTTAGCTGTGGCCTATTTCTTTTTTCATAGTCTAGGCTATCTTTATCCAAACAAGATTTATGTTTATTAATGTTACTTTTTTCTTCAGCTTAAAATTTTGTTTAGGTAGTCAATGTTTTATATGAGTTTCTTTTTGTTATAAAACACAGTGACTATATTCAAAGAGAGGAAAGAAAATAGATCTACTTAATAGTTTTTCATTCAGCATTTTAGAACCCTTTATGGAAGTCCTATTATAATCTATAAAAGGCTTAAGTAGAAAAATCATTAATTACTATACATCAGTAAACAATAGTAGAATGTTTATTTAAAATACGTGGTTATCTACATATGTATATAAAAATTTTCTCTTTTGTTCTTTTGGTTTAGTGATGTTTGACATTGAACCTAGGGTTTTGTTTACCTTTACTTTTGACCGATACCTTTAGCCTGTAAAGCTTATTTTAAATGTACACATAATCAACCTTAATAAGGCATTATAATGTCCATGTTTTTAAATATAAAGAAAGTAAAATCTGAAGAAAAACTGTGACATTGCTGTTGATAATTTATACTCATTAAAATAAGGACATAGTTCTTGGCTTGATTAATAAAGAAAAACTTACCCTGATGTAAAGAATTAATCATTTTGTTAAGATTATTCCACTGGAATGGAAATAGAAGATCAAGTTGTATTTCTGGAGCCAGCAGTTAATAAAGATGTCAATGATCACCAACCCACCCCTGGAATTGTTCCTGATGGTAAGTCTGTTTCTGTTTTTGAAGAAAATAGGTAATATACAGATATCTTCTAAAATCTGAATGAAAATTAGCTAAGGTATGATACACTTGGAAACTGTTTAGCGAGCAGCCTTTTTTCCCCCACCTTTTCTTCCTCACATCCTCCACATCAAGGTTTCTCTGTGTAGCCCTGACTGTCCTTGAACTTGCTCTGTAGATCAGGATGACCTCAAAACTCAAGAGATCTTACTCTGCCTCCCGTGTGCTGGCATTAAAGGTGTGTGCCACCACAGGCTGGTGAGTGGAGCCTTTTAGAAAATTGTCTTCACTACAACTTTATAGTTTAGCTATAATCTAGTCTTAATTAATGAGTATGTACTTTATTTAGGGACCACCTGATTTTCATTAAAAAGCAATCCATTGGGTTTTGATAATTGTGAACTAAAGCTATTGTAGAATATGAGGTGTTTCTTGCAGAGATAATGAAAAATTTATTATATGAAGTTATTTCTGTAGTGCTATTTGAGGATATTTTTAATGATGTTTCACATAAGTTTTTGCAGTATTGGTAATAGCTTTACTTGTATAATTAGTAAAATTTTATATTGGGGAAGTTTCTTATTAAATTATGAACTTTTCTGAAAGTTTATAATGTAAATGAAGCTTTGTGTTAAATTATATACTTTGTGTTCAAAACATAAACTCTTAGAGTTTTTCAAGTTTTTAAATGCCCACATTTAACAACTCTGATTAAAAATTATACTTCATACAGATGTGACTGGATAAAATAAGTTATAGGAGATCTGTAGTACATAAATAGACACCTCATTATATCTTTGTATATCACTGACTAATATAATAATAGCTTATTTTGTGCTTGTTTTGGAATTTGGCATTTTATAGTAAAACTCTTGTTCAGTTATTGTAGAGAGAGCAGTATTAGAGAAATGATGACTCTTTGCTTAAAGAATCCATAATATCTTATTTGTAGAAGTTCAAGTATATATTGAAGATCTCCAGAAAAGTAATTCACCAGAAAGCCTTGACACAGGTGGCCTCCTCACTTCTGGTATGTTCAGATTGTCTAATTTAATTGTGTTACAAGACAATAGCCCAATAATTTTTTTTTCCTCAACTAAGAATGGCAATGGATAAGTTGCCTATGAATAGTTTTTGGTTATTTCACATGTTTCGTTGTAACAGATCTATTATTTGCTGTTTTCCTTTTATCCTTACATATAGCCTTTCATTAGAATAGGCATGTGAAGTGAGATTTCATTTTGGTATCAGAACATGTATTAATTTTAATCACTGGTTTGAAAATAGTAAATGAAGAGTTTTATGTCTTCATTGATACAGCCTCAATGGCATTTTGAATAAATCTCTCATTTTCAGCAGTTCTACTTTTTAGAGACATTGGAGCCTCATGCTAATTGAGAACTCTAACTTTCTCTTAAGATCCGGTAAATTTTTATTTGTTTGCTAGTGTTTTGAGACTGGGTTTCACTGTATTTAGCCTTAACTGGCCTAGAGCTCACTATGAGGATTTGGTTGGTCTTGAACTCATAGAAATTTGTCTGCTTTTTCTCCCAAGTGCTAAGATTAAAGGCATGAAAGTTTTAATAAATTAGTACTCTGATTTAAAGTTTACTAGTCGTACGTATTTTAGTGTTTGACATATTAATAAACTAGTCAATATTAGTGTCTAAAGTTGTGACATAATCACAATCCCTTATATATGCTGGATAGGTTAACATATGTAGGTAAAAGCCAAAGGAAGTCTTAATGTAGATGGAAAACCCACCAAATGGTATATCACAACTGTGTCTGCATTGTATCTTTATGTTCTTGATTAGTCTTCCTTTTCATTTAATATCATTGTTTTTTTAACTAGCTTTAAAAGAAGTTTAACTTTGCATACATAGTTAATTTCCAGTTTGTAAATGCTAAAATTGTAAATGTGTCATATGTGTATAATAGAAATATATCAATTGTTGAGTGTCTTGTTTTTAATTTTTTTTAAATTTTATCTAGAAATTGCTTTCAACTCTAGGGATCATACTAAGCCTATTTTTAGAAGGTCATGATTGTTGTTAAGCCATAAACCATTTGGAAATTTTTGCCTTAATTACTTCAAAAGTTCTTAAATACCTTCAAAATTGTAGTTTAGCCAGATAATCCGATTTATGGTTAGATGTTTTGCATTTTGCATGTGAGTTAACGTTACCCGTATTCTAAATTTTGTAGAATCATCTGACAATAAAATGAAACCTGAATTGGTAAATGAGATTTCTCAGGAAATTGAGAGTGAAAAAATGGAAACTCTTTCTAAAGGGGTGCATGTTTGCGAGGAGGAGGAAAATGAAGACAGAATGGAAGTGACAGAAAATATTGAAGTCCTTCCACACCAGACCATTGTGCCACAAGAAGAACTGCAGTTGTCAGAGGAACCTGAGGCAGTATCTAAAGAAGAACCAAGCCCTTTACAATCAGCTGCCGAGTTCGCTGCACCAGAAGCCTTACTGTCCCCACACAGCGAGAGTTCCTCATCTTGTAAGGAAACGTTTGTGATAGAAAGAGTACAAGACCAAATGGAGCAGAAGGAAAATTCTGAATTCCCCACTGGGTGTGTGGATTTTGAAATGACTCTTGCTGTTGACAATTGTGTCAAAGATGGTTCATGCCAAGGAGAGAAATCTGTAAAGTTAGCAGCTGAGGAGGAATCATCCTTCTCATCAGCAGCTGACCTGAGCAAAGCAGACATGTCTTCCTCCTCAACAGTTTGTTTAGACTTGCCTTCATGCGACATGCTGCATGGTTACCCTTCAGCTCTGAACTCTGCTGCTGGAAACATGCCAACCACATACATCTCAGTCACTCCAAAAATTGGCATGGGTAAACCAGCTATTACCAAAAGAAAATTTTCTCCTGGAAGACCTCGGTCTAAACAGGTAGGATGATATTAATGATGACAGGAAAGATACGGCATTTCAAATGTGAAAGTTACGTCTAGCTTTGGTTTAGAAGGCAGTTTTTTCTTTTCATCCACAGAACTCAGTTCCGATATTTTTGTTTTTTGTTTTTGGAAGAATGCATTATTTAAAAAATACTGTTAACTGAGAATGTAATTTATTAAATTTTGGGTTATAAAAATGTGATCTATTTGATTATAGTTTCTAGCAGAATACACATTCTAAGGTGTTTTTAGTTCCAAAATAATCTTAGAGCTTTAAAAACACAGTATAAAATTATGAATCTATAGTAATATAGCAATAATGTTTATTTTTCCCTGTAATATATATATGTACATATGTGTGTGTTGTTGGCTTTTTTAACTGCACAAATGGAAATTTTATACTGGTGAATTTCTCATTTTGATGTTTGTTTCTGTATATAAATACTAAGTCTTTGTAAAATCATTTTTCAAGGTAGGACATACTTCAGTAGTTTTAGATAAAACAATCTTAAAATGTACTGTTGTTTTTTTAGCCAGAATAGGGCACAACTCTTGAATGTGCTGGGTGAGCATTCTGACCTAAAGGCGTACTCACTGGTTTGTTTTCCAGAGATCATACCATAAGACTCAGGCTCCCTTGGGAGTTGCTAGCCTACTCTGAGCTTTCCCAGTGCTGGAATTCTAAGCTGCTTCTCTTTCTTGGACTTTGCACTTTTCTTAAGTACTATAGATTCTAAATTTTAGGGATGAGTCACAGTTCTTCTTAAGTGAATTAAAGTGATACTAAATAGTAAAATAAAGATAACACTGCTTAGATTTATTGTTGTTCTACACAATTGCTGCTTTCTGATATAAACAATACGAAAGAATTTAGTTTTTAGTATTTGTTTGTAATTTTAAATCTTATGACTTAAATTATTTCCAGGATTATATTTGACTTTTCAAGAGTGGTAATGTATTAATCTTAACCAACTAACTTTGGAGGTGTAAAGGTACTTAAAATCTATTTTAATGGACTGATTTGTCTCCTGAATAAATCTTGTGTATTTTTTATTTTCTAAAAACAAATTACACCAAAGGCAAAGGGACTAGCTGATGTTCTGTGGGAAAGACATGTAGTGGATTACAGTACTTCAGGCAGTAGTGTGTGTGTCTCTGTGTATGTAAGTCAGAGGATACTGGTGATCAAACTTCAAGGCATTATGCTTGGCAACAGGCACCCCCTAACCATCTCCCAGCCTTAGAATACACCTCAAATTATTTCTTGATTCAGTATCTTTCTATATAGCCATAGTTGCCCCTGTGCTTGGTGTATTTCTTGTGGCATTCCCCCTCGTTCTAGTTAATAGATTCTTTGACATTTGACTTCTCTTATCCCATGAGACTTTGTTCTTCACTAATGAGCACACACCCAGTCTTTTTGTCGTTTTTCAAAATCAGCTATTTAATAGTTATGTTACATAGTTCTGTTTCTTACCAAAAAGTTAGCAAAAGAAATTTGAATCTCACATTCACTTTTTGTTCCTGTGGTTTTGTTCCTGTGGTATATATCAAGATTATATACTTGTTGGGAGGACATCTGACTATATAACCCATGCTGGTCTGCAACTCCATATATTCCAACTTCAGCATCGAGATTGCTGGTTACAGATGTGGATCTCCAAGCCTGACTTGCACCGTCTTTGCCAACATTATGTAATGGCCCCACCCTAGGCTAACTAAAAACCCCTCTTAGGGTCTAGTTTGACCTTAACCTTGGAAGTAGAGTCCTTAATTGAGCAAAAAGCTTTGCTTTCCTCTGCTGTACTATTTTTTTTTCTCTTCTTTTTGCTTTTTCCTTTTCTTCACTTTTTGGATGATAGTAGGTGATAAGGCTCCTACTTTGAAGCCTAGTCTGGTTTCAAACGTGGAACAATATAACCTTCCTTTTTCAGCTTCTTGAAAGCTGAGTTTAGATTTGACTTTTAATAAAAAGCTGGTTATAACATTCTTTTCACTTACCATTATTGGCCCCCTTTTTCCTATCCTACAGCCCTGTAACCTGCATTATATTTTTATACGTTTCCTTGAGAAAATTAATGCTCACATGAACAATTTGGAAAATTATTCAATGTAACCAGTACAGTCTCTGAATATAGTATTCACAGTCTCTGCTGGCTTTGATAGCCACTTGGTTCTTTGTGACTCTTCTCAGTTTTCAGTTTCCTAATGTTTTATAATTTGAGCTCTCCTTGTAGATAGCTTAATAGTAACAGTGCATTGTTAGACTACTGGATGAGCTTAGTGTGTTTGGCAGTACAGTGCAATGTTTATTGATGAATTCCTTCATGCATACAAAAATATTATGGACGAGAAAAATAGTGTTTAGTAGTTATTGCACAGAATGCTTGACACAACTGAGGAAAAAAAGGTTTGTCCTCATGCTTACAGTTCAGTCCAGGTAATTACAGAGTGATGACACCACTAGGCAATCACAGCACAGCAGGCGAGCGTATACCTGTCAGTGGCAGCTAACCTTTCCTCCATGCTTTATGCGAGTTCTTTCTCTTCAAAGCTGGGATCTAAAGGATGATTTGTAACTGAACTTTCATAAATACAACCTTTTCAGTTTTAAGATCTTAGAGATATATTAGATAATTTTTTTTTGTTAAGATGTATACAGGTAGTCATGATTTTTCTTTGGTTCCTTTTAAAATTGCTTATAATCTATCTTGCAGTGTCCTATGATAATATACTTATTAAAATTCATTATGTAACTATCAAGCTTTTATTATAAAAATTCTTTGTAGCAGCCAAGTAGTTTTCCTAATTATCCCTGCGTTGACATCCATTCTTGGTCTAGAATGCTCTTCATTTGGTTCATCCATGTTATATGAAATGTAAATGCTTTGAAATGAGATGAAATTTTGGCATTAAAGCTAACCTAAATCAACAGAAAACTCTTATTTATGAAAAAATTTAACACTATTTTTGTCTTGGAGTGTTACTTTTTATGGTAGTTATGCAATGTTAAAAGATTAAGAGAAATTTAAGATACTCAGTAAGGAAATACTTAGTGAAAGGCCAGTGAATGTAGTGAGACGACACCATTGAGCTATATCTTGCCTATGTTTTTCCTCTAGTAAATAAATAAGGTGTAGAGCATCTCAGGTGAAGATGTAATGAGAGCAGCCTACAGATCAGTGGCTCACTTACGGTGCAAAGGGAAGGCCTACTGACAAGGGTAGAAACAGACAGCCATTTTTGAAAAGATTGGAAGGATGGAGTAAAGCTGTATCAGTTAGGCCCTGATTGTGGAGAGTACAGTATGTTTGAAAGATAGTAAGGAAACCAAGGCAGGAAGAACGTACAAATAGGGAGGAAATGAATGATTCATGACGTGAATGGAGTGGGTGGAGGGAGGCAGTTGGAAAGGTTTGCCTTCTAAGTAAATTGAGGTACAAGCAGAGGGTTAGAAATAGGTAGGTTCCTTGCTGCATGGGATTTATATTTCTTCAAATGAATCTAGCTGCTGGACAGAGAAAGTCTTGAGACTCTCAGGGTCAGAGGTTGGCAGAAAGAAATGACTTTTTTTTTTTTTTTTTTTGGTTTTTCGAGACAGGGTTTCTCTGTGGCTTTGGAGCCGAAAGAAATGACTTTTAGAACAGGTGGCATGCAAGATTGTGGCAGGCAGGATAGGAATTCTGGCAGTGGAAGTGCAGCTGGGAATGTATTGACCAGAAAGATGAGATAAATTCTGGGGTTGCTGAATTGGATGGAAGGACTAAAAGCAGATCAGAATGTCAGAGAATACTTTTTGGCCAGAGTTCTAGATGCCATTCTAAAAATGAAAGACTAGCAAATAAAACCAGCTATGGGAGAGATTTTAGATGTGATCCATGTTAGAGGTTGTCTCAGTTACTTTTCTTTTACTATAAGAAGACACCATGATGATGGCAACTTATAGAAGAAAGGGTTTATTTAGGACTGATAATTTTAATGGGTTAAATAGAATCCATAAGCATCATGGCAGGGATCATGACAGCAGAAAGGCAGGTATGTCATTGAGGCAGGAGTTGAGAGCTCACATCTTAATCCACAAACTGAGTCACCTCAAAGCTTGCCCTTGGTGATATACCTCTTCCAACAAGGTTACATTTTCTAATCCTTCCCAAACACTTTCAGCAACTGGGTACCAAGTGCTCATATATAGTCCCTGGGTTTATGGGAGCTTTTCTCATTCAAACCTCCACAGAGATTTTGTTTAAGAAGATGGATGTATTAAGGAAATTTAAAAAAGAAAAGGTCACACTTCCTTGGAGATGTTAGAAAAAGAACTAGAAACTGCATGTAGAAGACAACTGTTTCCAAGATGGCATTTCAAGCCTTCACTGTAAATAATGTTTAGGATTTGGGCTTTAGCTCTTAAGAAACTCAAGGACTTCAGATGTTCATGAAAGCACTTGCAAAATAGAGAAAAATCATTAGGGAGGTGTGCTACCACCAGATCAACAGAACTGTCCTGAGTAAATTGAGAACAGAGAATGGACTTTTGGCAACATGGAGGTTCATAGGGCCCCTTGACAAACGCAGGGGAGATGGTACAGACACAGATGCCATGGGAAGTGGGGTAGTGAGCGGGAGTTATTAGCTGCTGTGTACCAAAAGGAGTATGTCCTTGTTAACTGAGTGTGGTTAGGGAATCGATGACAGAGAGAAAACTTAAGAATTATCCTGGACTATAAAACACAGAGTGGCTGATGATGAATTTCTGTTCTTCAGACACGTGGCTCTTTAGTTTGAGTTAGAAGTAGAATTAATTTGTCCTTTATGTTTCTTAACTTTTTCTCCTCCAAACTTTATCAACTGTCTCTTCAGTGTGGATTGGTGGTCATGCTCTTTATTTTGGTTGTTTAAATTGCTCATTGCATTTGTGTTAGTACTGGGATTCTTACTAGTTTGATGATCTAGAAACATGGTAAGTACAATATATCTTGTTTTAAGATTTTGTCATTTAATTGGTAAAATAATTATATGCATTATTAAATGGTCTGATTCAAAATAGGCTCTTTGTTATTTGTCATTTGTTGTGTTTTGCTTTAAATTATTGCCTTGGTGAAATAAAAACATCCTTGCTCTTTAGTGTCTTTGTCAGATTAGCTGAGAATGCTGAATGTGGTTATTTGGAAGGGAGATGCCTAGATGCCTTAATCTTATTTTAACTGTTTTAATGAGACACTATTTCTTGCATATTAGGCACCTTAGTCATTTTAATTTGCAAATTTAGGACAATTTGCTTTAATAAATCTCTTAACTATTCAAATTAGCTCCTTGGGTATGGTTGCTGTATGATGTCATTCCCATAAATAAAAATCATCCAAGGTGAATGCTTTCATTCTGTATGTATTTTAGTCTACTGGTTTTGGTGTTTATAGAACACTCTTTAAGGTTGTCCTTTCAACCTTTTTGGTTTAGACATACTTGTTAGATTAATATAATCCATAAATAGCTTTCTTCTAGTGTTAATTCTTAGACTGTGACTGACTTTTATTTTTATTTTTGTAATGTAGTTACAGTTCATGAGTCAGTACTGGTGTTATATAAACTTTGATTTTTTTATTACACTTTATTGTATTGATATTTCTTCTGAGATATTTAATTTAAATTATGCCTGCAAACATTTAAGTTAAAGTCACTTTAGGTGATAGGTTTATTTTCTCAGACTTGAAGCAATTTGTCCTAATTTTTCATACATTTGCATTCGTTTTTGCTGTTCTAAAATTCCTTAGTTGCTGGCTTTGATCTTTTATGTTGCTGAGTTTTATACATCTATTTTCTCACCTGCCATATCCTAGGGGGCTTGGAGTAACCATAATACAGTGAGCCCACCTTCCTGGTCCCCAGAAATTTCAGAAGGCCGGGAAATTTTTAAACCCAGGCAGCTTTCTGGCAGTGCCATTTGGAGCATCAAAGTGGTAAATAAAACTTGCATTTACATTCATGTATCATTTCTTTGTAGTTTGTTTTGTTCTATTGGATGTTAAGAACTAAACCTTTCTTTCTAGATTCAACTTCCAGAGCCACTTTTTCAGTTTGACAGCTTGGCTTATATTTCACTTAAAGATCTAGATGAGGAGGAAGTTAAACTGCAGTATTATAAGGATACATTTTTAATGCCCCTTTTTCTGACTAGTTTTCTTTTATTGTTGTTGTTATAAGTTGTTGTAATTTTTATTTTAAGGAATAATTCTTGTCACAGACCAAAATGTAATCAGGAACTTGCTCATTTACAATATCACAAAGCTTAGTTGATTACGTACAGACAGAGAAAGTTTCATATTTGTGTTTACCTCAAGTCGCAGAGAGTTCCCGTATCATAGGTTGACGGTGCTTTCTCAGTTCTTGACGTTAAGTAGTCAGGTACAGTTTGAAGCAAAAAAAGTTCAAAAAGCAATCATCTCGATAAAGTACTTTATTGACTAAAGAAGGTAATTTTTCCTTATCTTCTATATGTGGTATGTTTCTAAAATAGAGCTACTTAAGTTAGACTAGTGAAAGATTTCAGAAGACTTTCAGAGTATATTGTCTTAGTTTCTTTTACAATTTTAAGTGCACATTTATGCTCATCCAGATAATTGTAATCACCCAAAATAATGTGACATAATTTTAGCTTATTCATTTTAATTAATTGATTGGTTGATTGGAGATTAGTCTTATTATGTAGCCCAGGCTGGCCTTGAACTCCATTCAAATCCTCCCTCAGACTCCCAAGTGTTGGGATTACAGCCAGGTGCCACCATACCTAGGTTTAAATATATAAGAGCGTAAAACGTGACTCGATGATTTTGTAGCAAACGCTGCCGATTTTCACTCACTTTTAATCTGTACCAATGGATGTTAGGAAATATTAACTGAGGGGTTACTGTAATCCTGATTTTAAATTACTGCTTTAACTTTTCCCCACACTCCTACCTGCCAACAACCTGCCTAGTGCAGTCCCACCTTCTGTCTCTCTTGTTCAGAGCTGAAGACCTCTGGGACCCAAAGAACAGGGTGAGCGAGAACAAGGAAAGACAGGTTGGAGCTGGAAGGTGTTTGTATTTATTAAAAATGAAGGGGAAATCACAAATCTTCTTCCCATTTGTTCACACAGTGTTTTATTCTCCCCACATAACTACAGTACTTTGACCCTGAGCTTGTTCTACTCTGCAGGCAGGGATTTCAGTTTAGGAAGCTGATGAAGGGTATCAGGTGAGGATGTGTCATACTTCCCATTTGTTACAAAGAACAAAAGGTTCCTGGACCACATATATAATATTTTTATAAGATTCAGTTTTTCCTCAGTCAGTAATATATATTACTGAATATAACCAAGGTGAGGTCAGGACTCTAATCTTGGTTGGTATCTATAGCTTAAGATCTCAGAGAATTTAACATATTTTCCTATAGGACTTTTTCTTATGTTAGTAAAACATTACTTTTAAGGTTAGTTATTTTGCCTTTATGTCAATTTAATTAAAATCTTGAAGCAATTTTAAATATTGTGTTCAAATGAGTTAGATATGTTCAATTTATATGACAGCTGTTTAATAATAAAGGTTCTATTTTCACGGCAGACATAATACCCTTCACACTGGTAAATAGTAACTTTGCTGTTTTGTAATATTTCAGAATAGTGACTAAAAATGAGCGACTGTGGGCCACTTGTTAGGTCAGTGACCTTGGAGATGTCACTGATACCTCCTTACTCTCAGTATAATTATCTCTGTAAATTTGTTAAGAAGAAAAATTGTTTATATCAGTATATACTAAGTGCCCAATAAATGTTCCTGTTAGACTCATCTCCAAGAGGAGAGTTTTTCTTTGGCATCTGTCTTGTACTGAAGATAGCCTGTGCATATAGAAATGTCTGTGTTGGGTCTGATTACTCTAGACACCCAGAATAAAGGTATAGAGAGTCAATTAGTGTCAAGGCTTGCTGATGGGAAGCACACATGAGAACAGAGGCAACACTGGATTCTAAAGTTTTAAGTAGTCTTATTAATAAGTTTTGGCTACATATTTAAAGATGGAAATAGTAAGTCTGATCTATAAATATATATATAATCCAATTGTAAAAGAAAGGCATTTCTCTAACATTTGATAAAATGTTTTTTTTTTCCACTGACCATCTGTATTTTAAAATTCTCTTGGGCATTTACTGAATGTTTACTCATTCTTATTTGTTATGTAGGGCCGAGGGTCTGGATTCCCAGGGAAGCGGAGACCTCGTGGTGCAGGGCTGTCAGGACGAGGTGGCAGAGGCAGGTCTAAACTAAAGAGTGGAATCGGAACTGTTGTATTACCTGGGGTGAGATTTCTGTTCTTATTATTCCAGCAGTAGTTAATGGTGATACTCTCATTTGTAGCAAGTTCTTTTCATCCTGAGAGTCCCAGGAACAGTCTCATCCCTTTACATTTTACTATGTTTCTGCTTGGTAATTATGGATTTCATTTTATTTTGGACGTTTGTTCAGTTTGTTCAGGTGGTTTTGTTTTCTGATTTGTCATTCTTTTCTTTTTTCTTTGACCTATTTTTCTATCAACCTTCTACAAGAGAGAATTTATAATGTTTTTTTTTTTTTTTTTTTTTTTTTTTTTTGGTTTTTCGAGACAGGGTTTCTCTGTGGTTTTGGAGCCTGTCCTGGAACTAGCTCTTGTAGACCAGGCTGGTCTCGAACTCACAGAGATCCGCCTGCCTCTGCCTCCCGAGTGCTGGGAATAAAGGTGTGCGCCACCACCGCCCGGCTGTATTTTCTTTTTAATTAAAAATATACTATTATTGAATCCTATTTTTAAAGATGTATTATTTCATTTCATGTATATGGGTATTTTTCTGCATGCAGGTATACCATGTGTATGCCTCTGTGTGCCCTAAGAATTCAGAAGAAGAAATCAGATCTCCTGGAACTGGAGTTACACATGGTTGTGAGCCATTTGGCATGGTTGCTGGGAATTGAAATCAGGTCCTCTGCAAGAATAATATGTACCCTCAGCTACTTAGCATTGTCTTCAGCCCCCATTTGTTAGTTTGGCATTTAAAGTTATTTCTTATTACAGTTGCTATATTATAATAAGACCTATAGTAAAGACCTAGAAATGTAGGTTAATACAGGTTCGAATGATGTTCAAGATTGCATGAGTATTTTAGATTGATAAATGCTTATTTATGAGCACATTTTGAGGTTTCCTGTTGATGTGCATTGAAAAATCTAGTTGAGCTGTGCAGTGATGGCTCATCTATAATCCGAGCACTCTGGAGGGATAGGCAGGAGGATCTCTGAGTTCTAGGCCAGCCTGGTCTACAGAGCGAGTTCCAGGACAGCCAGGGCTACACAGACAAACCCTGTCTTGAAAAAATTAAAAAACCAAAAAAGCAAAACAAAACAAAACGAAACAAAAAAGAAAAACCCAAAACGAAGGTAGAAAGAATTTGAGCTGGGTGTGCTGGTGCACTCTAATCCCAACATTCAGGAGACAGAGGCAGGCAGATCTTTTTGAGTTTATGGACAGCCTCATATACTTGGAATTCCGGAGGGGTGGGGAGCAGGGATGAAAGAGATGAAAACTGATTTATTTCTGGGCATAGTAGCTCAAATTTTTAATCATAGTACCAGCAGGTGGGTCTCAGTGAATTTGAAGCTTAGTTGATATACAGAGTGAGTTCTAGACTAGCAGGACTAGACCTACATAGTGGTAACCTGTCTCAAAACAATCAAATGCAAGCCAAAACAGATTTATTGAGTGGTATGAGACTTATTAGTTGGTATGAGGGTACAGACATTGACACACACAATTTAATAAGCTTTGGTGTGTACAAACCTTGAAAACCATAGAATAATCAAGGCAGTGAAGACATTCATCTCTTAAAGTTTTACCAGGATCCTCTGAAGTTCATGTGGTTCCCCATCTTCACCTCTAACCTTTCTCTTCAAGCGTGACTGATCTTAGTTTCTTGTGGCTTGTGCCTGTAATCTTAGTACTTGAGAGCCTGATGCAGGATTGGTGCCAGTTTACATAGCTTAACCGAAGAGTTTTGATTTGTCCTTTGGTCATATCTCCAGGTTAAATATTTAGGTTGCTTAATGGTTTCCCTTATATGACTTTAAATTGCTTGTTTGTGCCTTGATCACAACATTCACATTGGTACTATCAATTAAAACTGATTTTACATGTGTTTAAATTGAAAATGTTGCATTAGTATATTTTTTAGCTAAAATTTCAGCCATTCCCCAATAAAATTATTATTTATGTTTTGACCTTGAGTGTAACATTTCTCTGTAGGTTCTAACCTTTTAAGGAAAAAGGATCATATTTTATTATTTTAGTATTGACTTCCTGGTTTCCTGTTACTGTATCTAATTCAGAGCTTTTGTTGGGGCAGAGTGTATAATAAGAATCCAATTGGTGCCTAGTTGGTTTGGGGAAATATAATCAAGTTTAGAAATGAGCACCCATGGTTGATTATTGTTCTGCTAATACTGACATTTTGATAAGCTAATCATAATATTCTGAAGTGGTGCCATTTAGTAGAGATGAATAGGAACCACATATGCAATTTAAAATTTCCTGGGAGTCACATTTAAAAAGTTATAGTGAACTAACAAACTTAATTTTAATGTGTCTTATGACTTCTATATTTATATTATTACCATTTCCCCATGTAAGGTATATAAGCTTGATAGCAAGCAACTTTTATATTCTGAGTTTGGTACTGACTCTTTAATGACTGCTGTGTGTATGATAGCATATCCTATTTTTATCTAATCACATTGCAGTTCTCAAGTGACTAAAAGTGATATATATATATATACTTATATATGCTATAATTTTATAGTTTCTTGAGTAGAATTTCTGGATAATTAAGTATTACTAAAGACAGGCTTTCGGGTTTTCATTTATCCTCCTCTGTGGTGCTTGTATATCTAAAGTAAGCACTTAGTGAATTGAAAAAAAAAATCATGACTTAATTTGAGAGACAGGGTCTTCCTATATATCCAGGCTAGCCTCAAACTTACCATCCTCCTGCCTCAGCTTCCTGAGTTCTGTGATTATTATTTTACACCACTATGCCTATGATTGATGTTTTTGTTTTTTGTAGGTGTCTGCTGCAGATACTTCATCAAATAAAGATGAAGAAGAAAACTCTATGCACAATACCGTTGTGTTGTTTTCTAGTAGTGACAAGTTCACTTTGCATCAGGTTTGAACTTAATCTTCTGTTTTCTAATTCTTCCCCACTTTAATCTGTCCCATCTGCCTAAATATCATCCAGATAAGCTGTAGAACTATGATAATTAAGAATGTATTTTTAAAATCTATATTAAAATCTGTATTCTTAACTTTATCTGCAATTTAAAATTGTTTTACATGTTGTTAATTTTCAGGATATGTGTGTAGTTTGTGGAAGTTTCGGCCAAGGAGCAGAAGGAAGATTACTTGCCTGTTCACAGTGTGGTCAGTGTTACCATCCGTATTGTGTCAGTATTAAGGTAATGTGCTTAAGTTAAATGAGTTAACAAAAACATTTCTAATAAAGAATTCCATTTGCTTGTTTGTTTGTGCGTGCACACGCCACAAGTGTGCATCTGGAGGTCTATATCAAGCTTGCTCTTCAAGCTATCTCACTATTCCCAATATATATTTCTATTTTATTTGAGCACTAATACTGTTTTCTTAGTTCTTAAAAATTAATTATATATCTGTTATATATGATATATACAATATTGAAATCAAGTATTTATCACCATTATGCATATGTGGCGATATTTAAGTACCTTAAATACTGTTTTTTAAGTGTTTGTTACCTCAGTAAATTATCTCCCAAAAACTTTGTGGTCTTGCATTGTGCAAGTTACCCTTCTGTCATAAGCGTAGGTATATCCTCTTAAAACAGTTTGTCTTATGACTAACTGAGGCATTAGTATTATCACCACCCATCTTTGATTACAGAAATTCAGAACTAGTATCTTACATTCATAAGTTTGTATGCTTATCCATGTTTCTCCCATGTTCAGATTCCTCAGCCCGTCCTGTCTTATCCCGTCCGTCCATGTGTGCCCCCCGCACGCCCTCTTTGGTTTTCAAGAAAGGGTTTCTCTGTGTAACAGTCCTGGCTGTCCTGAAACTCACTTTGTAGACTAGGTTGGCCTTGAACTCACTAAGATCCACCTGCCTCTGCCTCCCAAGTACTAGAATTAGAGGTGTGTACTACCACCGCCTGGCTCATTTTCTCCTCTTTTTTTTTTTTTTTTGATGCGATTCTGCTATAATCAAGAGCCCGCAACTCTTAGTTGCAAGCATTATTGACACTAAAAACATTGTATGTGGCAACCATGTACTTGGTTTTAAGTTACCTAAATATGGGCATATTACAGTAACTGAATGACGTGATTTCTTTATACAAACTCATTTGAAATAAAACTTACAATATTTGAGTAAAGTAACAGGTGCTCAATGCAAGTATCAGTTTCCAGCTGTGAATGCAGGTTCCCCCAGAGTACTTTAAACCATTTTCTGTTTCTGCTGTAGCACATAGGATAAGCATGAACCTTAACTTCTTGGTTATTAATCACTCTGAACTTAATGTGATCTTTACCCCTTCCTTCTACCCTCCACCACCACTGTGTGATGCCGTTATTTATCCAAGATGTTGATATGGTAAACAAAGTATCATGTGTCCCCAGGAGATGCTTAATGTTATACTAGCATTTTTTTTCTTTGCTAAAGTAACACTTGCTTTTGTACATTTAAGATTCAAAGTGAAATACTATAATTTTTTTAAAAATAGAAAACTAGTACAGTTAGTATATACAGTCATTTCTAATTTATTACTCATTGTACCTTGCCTTTCTTTGTTCTGTCTTCATTTCGTAAATAATACATGATTTGTCTTTGGAGTACTATCTGAATGTGATTCCTTTCCAGATGTGATTGTAAAGTCTTGTGAGCCCAGTGATGTCTTAATGTGGCCATTTCCCTTGTCTGCCATTGTCAGTAGTTTTAGGAGGGGAGTTAAGATTAGAGGCACCCTCCTGAACTTTTCTGAATTTTTTAGCTTATCCAGTAGTTTCCATTTTCAACTAAAGTAATTGAAGCTTATATGTGTGTGTGTGTGTGTGTGTGTGAGAGAGAGAGAGAGAGAGAGAGGGAGAGAGAGAATGTGTACACACACACAAAGACCTGTTATTGGCTAATTACCAATAACTGGAGTTTAAATTCATGCTTTTCTACCTGCTTGTGGCTTCTTTTGTTACCATTGATACTATTTTGGACAGAATAGAATACTACGTTCTCCTATCTGGATAAACACCAGGTGATGGTGATATGACTCAGTGAAGTGCATGCTGAGCATGTCGGATGACATGAGTTTAACCCTGGAAGTCCATATAAGGGTGGAAGGAGAGAACTAACTCCTTAAAGGTGTCCCGTCCTCTGACCTCCACAGGTGCACAATACATACACACAAATAGTAATAAGTAAAAACTAAGAAATAAAGGAATATCTAGAAGTATTCAAGAGTATGAACATTTTCAGGCGTATTTCTTACTGTGGCAATCAGTGGACTTTTTAATCTTCCTGAAATAGGTCCAAATAATCTTCATTCTGTAATTGATATTCCCATATATATGTAGATCTAAAAATCTTAAGTAATGCCCTTCAAAGTGAGAGTGTGTTTTTGTTTGTGTCTTCTGCATTTATGGAATATTGCCCATTTTAGACATCAAAGCTGAGAATATTTTTAAAATACAAGAAAATGTCATATAATCTCTAAAATACTGTGCAACTGTGAATAAGTTAAGATGCAGCCAACAAATTAGCCCTTAGCAGCATCAGTAGTATGAAAACAAATGGTTCTGACCTCAGGAGCATATGGTAATTGCTGCTCTAGCATTACTGTCCCATCCCCCTTCCTGAGTACTTCTAACCTGCTCCTCTTGTGTGTGTGTGTGTGTGTGTGTGTGTGTGTGTTCAAGCACAGTAATAATGTATGCACTATACTGAGTCAAGCAAATGATTTCTAAGATAAATAAATAAATCACGATTTTTCTTTTTTCCAGATCAGTAAAGTGGTTCTTAGCAAAGGTTGGAGATGTCTTGAGTGCACAGTGTGTGAGGCCTGTGGGAAGGCAACTGACCCAGGAAGACTCTTGCTGTGTGATGACTGTGACATAAGCTATCATACCTACTGCCTAGACCCTCCATTGCAGACAGTTCCCAAAGGAGGCTGGAAATGCAAATGGTACCCTAGGATTCATGTTACATTGTCAGTGTCTTTCTAGTTCTGAGCTTCTGCTTATCATTTTGGTCTTATAAATTAGTTGTGTATGCTTTAATCATACACATTTGGCATGATACATTTGTAAAATTATTTCTTCTCATTCTGTGCACTTATAGCTTCCCAAACTGTCATAATTAAATATAGAAATAAACTTGGGACTTCTGTGGGGATTTGGATTTCAGGTGTGTTTGGTGCAGACACTGTGGAGCAACATCTGCAGGTCTGAGATGTGAGTGGCAAAACAATTACACACAGTGTGCTCCTTGTGCCAGCTTGTCCTCCTGCCCCATCTGCTATCGGAATTACAGAGAAGAAGACCTCATTCTGCAGTGTAGACAATGTGATAGGTACTGTGCCTTTTTATCCCCTTTGCCATTTTATAAGCCTTTGTCTTAAGGAACTGAAAGGAACTTAGAAAATTATTTTCCTTGATAAATTTAGGGAACAAAACTTTGCTTTCTAGACTTTTAGTATATTAGAAACTTCCACAGTATGTTCTTATTTTAAAAATATAAAATTTAGATACTTAGGGTTTTCAGTTGGGGACTTTTTGATGGTTTATCAGTCTCTTGAAATTAGATACATAATTAGTGCTTGCATTTATGCATTTTCTTATGGTGAATCTCTGATTATTCTGGTAGATTCTAAAAATGGTATCATTTTCTCTGTTTCTCTCTGTCTCTCTCCCTCCCTCTCTTCCTCTCTCTCTCAACATTTTCCCCTAAAGCTCTAGATTTAATACCTAGATGTTAGATAAAACCTTTGATCTTCCTAGCTAGTATGTTCACCTTCAAAATGCAGACTACTTCCTTTGTTTCAATACTGTTAGCAATTGAGCACTGTATGCATTAGTTTTAATTGATCAGTGGTACAGTATTCCTTTTAAATAAGTTGTATAGTTTTTGTGGACAATACGACAAACTGTTCTAAAGCAAGGTCGTCATCCCTTGACACGAAAGTATCTGTTCTTAGTTAGATGCAGCAGGTGACACATATACATGCATACAGTTAGTTTTATTTTTACTCTTGTGAATTCCTGCTTGACCTGGCTAGCTTCATTGACAACTTTGTCTTTCAGCATTTGATCATAAATGGTAATTGTCCTTCTAATAGTGTTCATCTGCTTCTTCTTTAGTATTTATATTCTCATTTATTCCTTTTCTTGACTTCTCAGCATAAGGGAGGGTATTATTGGTTAATAGGGATAATTGGGGGAAAAGACTTAGACATTCAAGTCTTGGGACTTTAAGTTTAAAGACTGTCAACTCCTGTTGTGATTTTTATAAAGAATACAATTTCTTGTATATTCCACTTCTTTTAAATATATAAATATGCTCTTTTTAGGTGGATGCATGCAGTTTGTCAAAACTTAAATACTGAGGAGGAAGTGGAAAATGTAGCAGACATTGGTTTTGATTGTAGCATGTGCAGACCCTATATGCCTGCATCAAATGGTAAGAAAATAACATAAACTATTTGTTGCCCCATGTCTCCTTGATTTGTGAAATAGAAGTTGCTTTGTGCTATAATACTCTTCCTATCTCAACTTTATTAAAATAGTCTGTATAAAGACAAAATGACACACATACATTTTAGATATAAAATATAAAGTTTTGCTTTTAAGGTTTAACCTCTTGGAGTTATCTTATTCAAAAGTCCCCCATTCATATTCTGCCGGTTTTTTTCTTTATGCCCCTTGTTCTGTTTTGTTCTTGTTTTGTGCCAGCACCAGTAATCCTAGCATTTGGGGAGGCTGAGGCAGCAGGATACTGAGGCTAAACTAGCCTGTAGTACATGTGCATATCAGACCAAGCTCAGCTATAAAGTGAGACCTTGTCTCAAAAAAAAAAAAAAAGTGAAACAATCCCTTTGAAAACCAAAAGCTCCTTTTGGGGTGGGATGGAACACATGGGTATAGTACTTGACTGTCTGTATAAGGCAGCTCCTCACACACATGCAGAATCCTATAATATTTAGACATTGGTTGAATGATACATGTACAGGCATGGAAATCTTTATTCTGTATGTCATTTTTTTTGTCTCAGTCATTTCCTGAGTTGTTGTTTTTCTTTTCAGTGCCTTCCTCAGACTGCTGTGACTCTTCGCTTGTGGCACAAATTGTCACAAAAGTAAAAGAGCTAGGTAAAATTTAAAAAGTTTTCTTTCAGAAAAAACATATACTTCTTAAACAACTGGCTGGTTGAGTATATGAAATTAAATGAATTTTCTGGAATTTTTAGAATTAATGTATAAAATGTTCATAGTGGCTCATTTTACGGAAGTAGTATTTCTTATAAATTTCAGAAAATAATGAGAATAATAGCTCTTTGGATTAACTATTAGTATCCTGCCTGCCTTTCTTCAGTTGGATACTGGACTTGCTTAGTTGTCAGCAGGAAAAGAAAGCCTACTTAAGTAAACATTCAATTAGCATTAATTAATTAATATTTTATAATTTTTCTCTGATAACAGTGGTAGCATGGCATTTTTATGAGAGATTCTTTTAACTGATGTTGACAACATTTCTGATACAAAAACCTATGGATTGTATTGGAATTGCTTTAATAAACAAGTTTTTACATTAAAGATTTGAATCTATAGAAGTGTTATCTTATTATGAATATTTTAGCTAGCATAGGAAACAGTGGCTTCATTAAGGCTTTTTCACCCCTGTATATTATTTTACTTGAGGGTGCAGGATTTTTCCAATATTTCTACCTCTCTGTGTAAGTGATAATATTGTTACTACTGGAGTACTTTTGTTTCTCTTACATGAATTGATTTTTACATTTTGGTCTTCACAAGGAAAGGCTTATTACAGAGCAGTGGTGGCAGTACGTGTAGCTTCAGTTTCTTCCCTCTTGATACATGAAAGTGGAAGTGCTTTTAGGAAAATCTTTTGTAATTTAATTTTACTTACTTACTTACTTTTTTTTTTTTTGTGTGTGGTCAACTTACATCCATTCTGCAATAGTCCTAAAAGGTTTTCAATATTAATTGAACATCATCAGTTCATGCACTTTGTAGATTTTTGTTGGATGGATGTGTAGTTGTATTTTCTTGCCATGTAAATGTTGGAATATTAATCAACTTATCTGTCAATTTCAGATGAGCTCTTAAATTTGCATTTTTGTAATCTTAGATCCACCTAAGACCTATACCCAGGATGGTGTGTGTTTGACTGAATCAGGGATGACTCAGTTACAGAGCCTCACCGTTACAGTTCCAAGAAGAAAACGGACTAAACCAAAATTGAAATTGAAGATTATAAATCAGAATAGTGTGGCTGTCCTTCAGACCCCTCCAGACATCCAATCAGAGCATTCAAGAGATGGTGAAATGGATGATAGTCGAGGTAATAACTCTTTGGTCTTCCTTGGAACACATGTGCAAGAATTAGTGTATAATGTTGCTGGAGAGATGGCTCAAAGGTTAAGAGTACTGGCTGCTCTTCCAGAGGTCCTGAGTTCAATCCCCAGCAACTGCATTGTGGTTCACGACCATCTATAATGAGATCTGGTACCCTATTCTGGCCTGTAGGCAGAATAGCATATGCATAATAAATAAATCTTTCAAAAAAAACAGTTAGTGTATAAAAGAACTTGTGAAAGATACATATTTATAAAACGTTAGTCACACTGTTTAAGGTACCTCTTGATGAGAAACTTCTCCCTTTTGAGTGATGTTCTGAGACTTGCATTTGCTTGTTTTCTTGTTTTGAAATATTTTTGTAATCCAGATCTCTAATATCATTGTGTTTGTAAGTGTGGACATTCAGAGTGATTCACTTCAGTTTGCTGGACTGTCATCCTAAGCCCTCCTCTAAGCTTTGTAAATTGGTGACTCATAAACATTTCCTTTATCAGAATAGAACTCATAAGGTTTTTCTGTCTGAACTTGTGAGGTAACAAAATAGTTTTAGTAACAGCATTAAGTATAGCACAGAGTAGATTTGTTTGTTTCCTTCTCAGAATGATCACTTCTGGTGTCTTTATTTTGGAGTGATTATTTTCAACTGATTCAGAAATAAAGCCATAATTATTTTCCCACCATTCAGTAGAATCTATTAAACATGTATAAAACATGTTGGAAATTATATTAGTGGACAAAATATGTAAAGCATGGATCTTATATCATCGTGTTAAAGATAAGATTGCTTTAAAAATTGATTGTTAGGTGTCTTTTTGAGCTCTTTGTTTCCCCTTTCTTAATTGGCATGTCATACTCCCTAGGAACACAACACTGGGTCATGCATCATGATTCCCACCCCTATCCTGAGGCACAGGATTAGACTGAATGGTTTAGAGTGGCTTGGTGGTCTTTTGCTTGGCTTCTTTTTCTTTTCATTTCTTTTTCTTTTTTTTTAAAAATGTCTTTTGGTTAAGATTTCTGTATTTGTTAGAATTACCCAGTTTCATCTGTATGTTTACTTTTTCCAGAAGGAGAACTTATGGATTGCGATGGAAAATCAGAATCTAGTCCTGAGAGGGAAGCTGTGGATGATGAAACCAAGGGAATAGAAGGAACAGATGGCATAAAAAAGAGGAAAAGAAAACCTTACAGACCAGGTAGATTATATCAACTAGACGCATGTGCTCTCTCTTTCTCTTTCTCATCTCTCCAGATGTGTTTGGGTGCTTTACTTTCATATATGTAAGTGCATCATCTGAGTACCTGGTGCCCACAGAGGCCATTAAGAGGGTGTCAGATCTCCTGGAAATGTAGTTAAATAATAATTGTGAGCCACCATGTAGATGCTGAGAATTGAATCAGGATCCTCCGGAAACACAGCCAGTGTTCTTAATAGCTGAGCCATTTCTCAAGGCCCCAAGCTAGACATTTCGATATAACGAAACTTGTAATGATGACTTACAACTCAATAACTAATCTATGTGCGGCTTATTACATGAAACTAAAGATGTATTCTTTACACTGAAAAATTTGACTACTTGACAATAAATCATTCCCACAAATATAGCCATCTATTATCCATGTTACTTATTTTGTTTTTATTTATGTTGAACTTTTAAAGAAATTCATGTATTTTCTGTACTTCACCAGGTCTCTTGTAAGCATTCATTTTCTAATAATTTTTGTTTTAAAACTTCAGTAATTATGCAGGCAAAAAGGTGAACAAAATATCTTGTTGAATTTGTAGTGCAATTGATACACTAGTAACTAAATTCTTCTAAAAATTGTTAGTTCATTTTTATTTATATATATGTGTATACTTGTGTGAGTTTATGTGCACCACATGCATTCATAGACACTAGATGGTATCAGATACCCTAAAACTGGAGTGAGAGGGACTTGTGAGATATTGTGTAAATGCTGGGAACCAAACTCAGGTCCTCTGCGAGGGGAGTGAGTATTCTTAACCACTTACCATCTCTCTTCCTCTAATTTCTTACTTTCCCAGTGTATTTCATGGGTAGAGAAAAAGCTGCCTTGGTTTTTACCTTATGGTAAAAAAAGGTTTTGGAATTTCTCATTGGAAGTTGTAGGCTTTTCAAATCTCATTTATTAATGTCTGTTTTTAGTGCAATCTCTGTTGTTTTGATGGATTGTATCTTATTGGTAAGAGCACTCTATATTCCTTTTAGTTGTAGGTAAGAACTTTCCATTTGTCTTCTCCAAGACCTTCAATGACACCTACGTTATGAATGAACCACATCTGTCATAGCACGTCTGTTTTTTTTTTTCCCCCCCTCTTTTGGTTTTTCAAGGCAGGGTTTCTCTGTAGCTTTGGAGCCTGTCCTGTCCTGGAACTCACTCTGTAGACCAGGCTGGCCTCGAACTCACAGAGATCCATTTGTCTCTGCCTCCTGAGTGCTGGGATTAAAGGTGTGCACCACCACTGCCCAGCAATTTCATTTTTTCTTAATTATTATGTTTCCAAGTATACTTTATGTTTTTAGATAGAGCTATTCCATTTAGAATGTTAATGCTGGTTTATTCTGTCTTTTCTTTTTTCTCTGCCATATATGGGTGACATCCCTTTATTTGAGGGGTGTTGGAAAGCACTTTACTATACAAATAGATCATGACAAAAGCTTATAGGATTTAGTGCCTATTAAACTGTTAAAATTGCTAACCATTTTACCAATTTTATTTTGCTTAGACTTATGATATGGGCAGGTGTTATTTTACCAATGAATGTACTGAAGAGTAAAATAACTTGCCCACATTTAGTTAGTAGATAGAAACCTATAGCTTGGCTCCATATTTTGTTTTCCTAGCTACAGAACTTAATGTCTCTGTGACTTCTGGCTTTTTTGACATGGGATAACAAGATAGTACTACTGAAGTTATAATGATCAATGAGTGTTAGTTTATTCTCATTCAGTTTTTATCCTCATTGTGCATGCTGGTCTGCTGCGCTGTTTTTGGAGCTATTACTTAACAATTACAGAAGGGGAAGCAGGGATATATCACTTCTTTATATTCAAGCTGTACCTCCCATTTAGTGTGTATGTTGATCTTATCTAGAGGAGGAAATGCAAGTAGTTCTTTCCGTACAGTAGCAAGTTGTAATTATTATTTTATGTAAGTGATAATAGTAACTTTGACATTTATTTTTACTTCCAATCTCCTGTACTTTACATAAAAATGAGATTCTTGAGGTTGGAGGGATTGCTTAACAGGTAATGTGCTTGCCATGGAAGCCTGAAGACCGACCAGAGTTTGGGTCCTCAGCATCTCTGTAAAAGTTTTGGAGTCAAAAGACAAGGGATCCGGAATCAGCAGCCTCTGGTTTCAAGTGAAATATTCTGCCACAGTGTATAAGGTGGAGAGAGATCAAGGGTAAAATCCAGTGATTAGCTTCTGTCCTCCACATGTATATATGTACACATATATACACACAAAGATATGTGTGCCCCCACACATATACTCAGGCCTCCATGCCACATACCTATTCACATGCAAAAATGAGATCATTAATTTATGTTAAACATGCAAATGAATTTAGATAAAAGTTCACCATTAAAGACAAAGCCATTCTTGTTACTGTAGAATTCTAGAGACATTTATGACTTCATGTGATTTCTATCTTATATAGGTATTGGTGGATTTATGGTACGGCAAAGAAGTCGAACAGGACAAGGAAAAGCCAAAAGATCTCTGATCAGAAAAGATTCTTCAGGCTCTATATCTGAGCACTTACCTAGCAGAGATGATGGTATAGTACTGATTTTCTTTGATTTAATTCCTTTGGTTTTATACTCTGTTGGAATAGACAGTCACTGAAGCAATGCTGCCACATATAACCATGTGCTTCTTTTTGATGGAACAATTAACTTGAATGCTATAGAGTTAAGAAAATGGTTTTATTTTAGGACGTGTGTGGTATGGTGAGGGATAGGATCTAGTCTTATAGTTTAGTCTAGTGGCTATTTCCCTACTTTCAATTGTTTTTTATCTCATGTAATTGATTTGTAATATAAAATGTTTGAAGGTAGCCGGGCGGTGGTGGCGCACGCCTTTAATCCCAGCACTCGGGAGGCAGAGGCAGGCGGATCTCTGTGAGTTCGAGACCAGCCTGGTCTACAGAGCTAGTTCCAGGACAGGCTCCAAAGCCACAGAGAAACCCTGTCTCGAAAAACCAAAAAAAAAAAAAAAAAAAAAAAAAAATGTTTGAAGGTATTACTTCATTTGGTAGCACTTTCTGTGTCTGCTGCAGTATTTAATTGTCTATATGTGAAAGGCATACATTGTTTGTTTATTTCTCCTCTAGAAAGGCCTCTTGGGTGGGGAGCTTATTCCCTGTTTAGATTTTTTCTTTAATGGAAGTAAAGATTCATTTTGACTCATAGGTGTGAGTCCATGTTATTTCGAGAGGTGTGTTGGGGGGGGGGTTGTTTAGAATTTTTAAGAGCTGCATTGAAGGTAATTTCTTTCAGAAATCTGCATCTGTTACTTTGAGATCCTCCTTTCCTAGGGTTACTTATGCTAAAATCCTCAAGCTTGAAGCACCCCTAAAGTTTACTGCAATAAACTTTTGGGCCATGTCCCATTTTCCCATTTGTAAGTTTTATGGACAGGAATTTTTAAAAAAGCTTTTTTGACAAATGTCAAATTCTGTATGACAAGTACTTGCTTTTGGTACTGCAGGAGGTGGTTTTAATGAGTTGGTGGTTTGGGTAGGTGTAGTTGTACTTTTTTTTTTTTTTTTAACTGTGTCACAGGCAAAAGGATACTATCCATATCCACTGAATTTTCTTCAGGAGTTTGTTAGTAGCCATTTCCTCATAATTCTGAATATCTGGTGTTTTTGTCCTTTGCAATCTATAAATGAACTGCTTAGGAAATCATGTTACTTTGCTTGGGAATACTAGTTATTTAGATAGACTAGGAGCCAGGCCTTGTGGCATATACCTTTAATCCCAGTACTTGGGAAACTGAGGTAGGTGGATTTCCATGAGTTCAAGGCCAGCCAGGTATACATAGTAAGTTCCAGGTCAGCCAGGGGACCCTTCCTTCCCCACTCTCCACCCCCAAAAGAGAAAGGCTCGGAATTGTACTAATACTAAATAGATATGAAATGGAATTTTTAAAGCATTTATAATTTAGAAATGTGCTTTAAGATCTTTGTGTGATATAAAAAGTACTTGTTTATGCCAAGCTATGCATATTGGTAAGCTATCAAATTACCATATTTTTCTGGAAAGTAAAGTGCCACATATTTATAAACATGGCTCTTATTTCAGGCTGGAGTGAGCAGTTACCAGATACTCTAGTTGATGAGCCTGTTTCTGTTGCTGAAAGCACTGAAAAAATAAAGAAGAGGTACCGAAAAAGGAAAAATAAGCTTGAAGAAACCTTTCCTGCTTATTTACAAGTAATATTCTGCTTTATATTTTATTGTGTGGTTTGCTAATTTAGGCAATGTATTGAGGTGTTTTTTTTTTAATGTTTACACTTTACTCATTATGTGTAATTTTTCCCTGGTTGTCATAAATGACATTCTCTTTATTCGGCTTCATCAAAGAATGAATATTTGCTTTTGTGTGTGCTTTGAATATTATAGGTGTGTATCAACAGTGTTTTTCATGAAGGAATGTGTGTATGTGTGCACATGCAGTCCTGGGGATCATAGCAGAGTTTTCCTGTACTGAACTTGTTCCAACCCTGATGGAGGAAGGTCATTGGTTAAATAAAAAGAAACTGCTTGGCCCTCATTGGTTAGAAGATAGGTGGGAGGAGTAAACAGAACAGAACGCTGGGAGGAAGAGGAAGTGAGCTCAGACTCCACAGCTCTCCTCTCGGGAGCAGACGCCTCAGAGAGACGCCATGCTCCCAGCTCCCAGGCAGACACATGCGATGAAGCTCCGACCCAGTATGGACGTAGGCTAGAATCTTCCCGGTAAGCGCACCTTGGGGTGCAACACAGATGATTAGAAATGGGCTAAATTAATGTGTGAGAATTAGCCTAGAAGAGGCTAGATAGAAATGGGCCAAGCAGTGTTTAAAAGAATACAGTTTGTGTGTTGTTATTTCGGGCATAAGCTAGCAGGCGGCCAGGGGTGCTGGGGACGCAGCCCCGCCGCTCCTTATTACTACACAATCCTATAAAGTTTGTTTTCTCTCTCTCAGTTAAGTTAACTTAGTTTTACATGTGCTGTTGGCTATAACATAGACACTTTGTGGATGGGAAATACTCTTTAAACCATACATATATGTGCACATGCCAAACCTGGCTCCTATTGATATTTTCATATAGCAATACAATTTATTTGATTAATTTAATTGAAAAGGTTCTCAGCAGCCAAAATCATAGCTTTAATAATTGGTTACCACATATAGAAACTTGTTAATGAGAGACCTAAGTCAAAGAAAACCAAAGAATTTTTATAAATTTTTGATACAGGATCTTGCTGTAAAGTCTAAACTGGCCTTGAACTCCTGATCTTCCTGAGTCAGCCTCCTAAGTTTTGACATTACAAGGTGATTGCTATCATGCTTGGCTATAACAAACATTTATTATTGTTGTTGTTGTTATTATTTGCTTTCCAAAATATATCTGTAATTATGAAGAAAATATTTTTGGTAAACATAGACTACAAAAAAAGAGGAAGTCTTTATTATAAATGTCAAATCACAAAAGACTTGAAAGATATATTAGGGAGAATGCCATCTTAGAGGCAGGATAGATTGTAAACATCCTCATCTACTACTACAGAATTCTCGGTTCCTATTTTATTCTTCCCACTCCTTTATTTCTTCACAGGTAAAAATTAAATTGGAATACACTATCATTAACTATCTACCTTAATTTTAGTACTTATCACTATTCCTATGATCCAGAACTAGGTTTTACGTAGATACCTTGCTTAAGGTACATATTTTTCTTAACCTTAATTTTCCACTAGAGGGTTTCTCTCTGTAGCCCTGGCTATCCTGGAATTAGCTGTTTAGAGCAGGCTGACTTCAAACTCAAAGATCTACCTGCTTCTGCCTCCCGAGCACCAGGATTAAAGGTGTGCTCCACCAGGCAGGCCCTTTATATGTTTGTCTTAAAATATATTTTTAATTACAAGGTAATTTGCTCAATTTTCTTCTCTAGTAATTACACGACTAGCTTTAGCTTTGTGTGTATATTTGTGTGTGTAGAAGTCTGGATGTGAATACACATTCACTGTGGGTGGAGGTCAAAGGTCAATCTCAGGTTATTACAAAGCTGTCCGCCTTTATTTATTTCTTTATTTTTGGACAGAGTCTTTTTATTGTGATTTGTGATTCATTGAATCAGTTGGAATGGTTGACCAGTAAACGCCAGGTATAGTCTAAACACTAGATTTACAAGCATATGCCACCAGAATTTTTATCATGAATTTTAAGGGTTTAATTTAGATCTTCCTCCTGATGAGCTATATTCCCAGCCCCTAGACTACTAACCTCTTAACTGTCTATATGCGGGTTACAGAGCTTATCCTTTAAATCAGAGTCTGTGTGTCTATTATAGATGTGTATCAACAGTAAGCCTATGTGTTTCTGTTTAGAAATTCACATCTGATCTCTTCTTCTAAAACTTTCTCTCTGTGTCTCTCTCCATCTCTCTGTCTCTTTCTTTCCTCCTCCTCCTCCTCCTCCTCCTCCTCCTCTTCCTCTTCCTCCTCATGATGATGATGATGATGATGATGATGATGATGATGATGATGATGATGTGTGGTGCCTTCTATAGTGTTCACATTTGATGTCAGGTAACAACTTTTGGGAGTCAGTTCTCTCCTTCCCTTGTGTAATGTGGGTGTCAGGCTTACACAACAAATACGACCTCACCATGCACTATCTACTTTTGTCATAGAGTATCTTCACTGAACTTAGGGTTGCTCACTGTTTTGGCCACTCTGACTGGCCTCTGGGATCTACTTGTCTCTGTTCCTCTTCCTCCATCCACTCATCCAAGAGTTATAGAGCTTCTTGCTTTAACTTTGATGCCTAGAGATCTAGGCTTAGATCCTCATAACAGCTTTCTATGCACTGAGTCATCGCCTCCGCTTTTGTGCTATTTTTTAAAGCAGCAATTTTATCAGTAGGAAAATACTCCTTTTTTTTGTTTGTTTGTTTTGTCTGTATGTGCTTCTTTGTTCTTGCCTTCTCCCTACCCTCTACTCGCTCTCTCCTCTCATTCTTCTCCCCCCACCTCTCTCCTTCCCTTTCTTCTTCCTCTTCCTCCTCCTACCCTGACCCCTCATCCCTGACCTATCTGTCTTCTCTGAGACAGGGTCTCACTGTGCAGTTCTAGGTCACCTGGAACTTACTTTGTAGACCAGGCTGGCCATTGAACTCAGAGGTCTGTCTTCCTCTGCCTTCTGACTGATGGAATTAAAAGACATGTACCACTTGCTCTTGATATTTTTTAAGGCAGAATTTTAATAGGCTCTTGGTCTTACAAATAATATATATTCCTATAATCTGTTTTTAAAAACTAATAAACTAATCCTCTACTGTAAATCTTCCTCTCCTTCCCTCTCTCCTCTCCTTGCTCTTTTATACATACAGTGTCTCTTTTAACCTTACTGGCCTTGAACCCTGGATTCATGCTTGTTGGCACACACTTTACTAACTGAAGTAGTTAGTACTACTAGCTGTTTTACAATTTAACAATAACAAAAAGACCTTAATTGCATATTTCTTACAGGGTAAAATGAAGTAATTTTATTTTATTTTTATTTTATGTATATGAATACTTTGTATGTCTAAGTATGTCTGTGTATTACATCATTGCCTGGTGTCCACAGAAACCAGAAGAAGGTATTGGATTCCCTGAAACTGGAGTTCCATAGAATTATGAGACTTCATATTGATGCTGGGACTCTTTGGAAGAGTAACAAGTGCTCTTAACCACTGAGCCATCTCTCTATTTCCAGCGCCATGTTCACTTTCTAATATGAATGAGTTTGGTTTCTTATATCTTTAACAACCAGGATAAAAGGCATGCACCCCTACACTTGGACCCCTTACCTTTTCTTGAAACTCTTTTCGGGATGTACTGAGAAATTGATCTGCTCCTTTACTTGTGGATCTGTTTGCTATCTGTAATCCATATTTAGAAACCCCTTTAGCTTACATCAAAGTATGGAAGCCATCTATTTGCAAAAGAGCACTTAAATGTGCTCTCTTTCTTGGCCATTCTTTCGTTTCCTTCTTTTCCTTTTTTTGTTTTTTTGTTGTTGGTGTATGTTTGTGTGTATGTGCCCACAAGCGTGCGTATGTGTGTGTTTAATTGATTTTTATATTTTCTTTATTTTTAAAAGACACTTTTAATGCAGACCAGATTGGTCTGAAACTTGATGTGTAGAATGATCTTGAACTCCTTATCTTCTTGCGCCTGTCTCTGTAGTGTTGGAACTACAGGTAAGAACCAACATGTCTGGTTTTAAAGGAGCCTCTAAAAATACTGAATATTAATCTTGCTTAATTAATATGGTTCTTGCTTCTAAGCCTGATGCCCCAAGTTTGATCCCTAGAACTACACTGAGGAAGAAGAAAACTGACCCCTACAAGTTGTCCTTTAGATTCACACATGCCATGGTGCATATGTATTATCATGTCTCTGTAAAGAGATCTTGCCATAGGTCTGTACTCTTTTTTTTTTTTTTTTTTTGGTTTTTCGAGACAGGGTTTCTCTGTGGTTTTGGAGCCTGTCCTGGAACTAGCTCTTGTAGACCAGGCTGGTCTCGAACTCACAGAGATCCGCCTGCCTCTGCCTCCCGAGTGCTGGGATTAAAGGCGTGTGCCAGCACTGCCTGGCTTAGGTCTGTACTCTTGTTGTGGTTCATTCTTAGAGTTCGCCACACTGTCTAGTTGAAAACCACTTGGAGCTTCTCTTGATGTTAACTCTAAGGAATGCCAAATGTGGCATGTGCCTTTAATCCCAGCACTTGGAAGGCAGATCTCTGAGTTTAAGGACAGCCTGGTCTACAGAGCAAGTTCCAGGATAGCCAGGGCTACACAGAGAACTCTTGACTTGAAAACAAACAAAAAAAAGTAAAGCTTATCAAATTCATTAGAGTATTACAAACATTAAATATCAGGAAAGTCATCATGACTCATTAAAAGTATTTTTATTGGTGTTGTCAGGTTATTGAAGTTTATACTTATGAAATTACATCAGTGATTGATTTCTAAACGTCAAAGATGTTTTATGCTCTTCAGCATTCTTTTATGGCCTTGTAGATTTTCAAATACAATTTTCATAGCTAAAATATTTGAATAGGATATAAAATATCTTCCAGAATTAATCCAGTGTCTGTGGGGTGGGGGGTGGTATGTGTGCATGTGCTGGTGTATCATGTATCATTGTATTTGAATAGAGAGAAGTAAAGGACCACTTCAGATGTTGGGCCTTGCCTTGTATCTTGTTTGAGACAGGTTCTCTGCTGCTTTACTGTGTGTAACATACTAGCTGACACATGAGCATTTGGGGATTCTACCATCTCTGCTTTCTATCTTGCCATATAGGTACACTGGGTTTACTGACATGTGCTACTGTTCTGACAATACGTGGATTCTGGGGATTCTAGCTCAGTTCCTCACAATAATGCAGCAAGCACTTTCACTACTGAGTCCATGCCTAAGCCCTCCAATTTCTGTTCTTAAATTAGTTTTACTAACATTGTCTTTGGATTTTTATTTCTATAATAAATCAACACAGCCATAAACAACTTGGGGAGGAAAGGGTTTATCCCAGCTTGAAACTCTCAGGTCACACTCTGGGAGGTCAGGGAGGAGTCTATAAGCAAGAACTAAAGCAAAGGCTGTGGATAGCTACTGCTACTGTCTTTGATTTCCATTGCCTGTTGAACCTGCCTTCTTAGAGCAACTGGGGCTACCAGCCTGGGCCATCCCCAGTGAGCTGAGTCTTGTCATGACAGTCAGTCAAGGAAATGCACCACAGGCTTGCCCACAGGCCGTTTTGGTGGGGGACATTCAAAGTGTCTGTAGCTTGTGTCAGGTTAACATAAAACCAGCCTGCGTGAACATTTTTTGCCCCCTTCCAATTTTGTGTAATTTATTTTATATTCTTACAGAAGTCTTCATTTGCACCTTTCGTTGGACCTTTCTTTCATATATTTTGGGCATATATTTCAGAACTTTTCTTTGATAATAAGGGTTTATATGCTTTTAAATATTTATGTGTACTTGCAAATCCCATGACACACTTGTGGAGGAAGACAGCTTGCAGAAATCAGTTGTCTCCTTCCACTGTGTGATTCCCAAGAATTGAACTGAGACTGTCATGCTTTCTGGCAAGTACCTTTATTTGCTGAGTCATCTCACTAGTCCTCTTTATATGCTTTTAAAATCTGTTGTTAAGTCTGGTGATATAGTCCAGTTCGATATTCTTGTTTGACATGTGTGAGGCCTGAGTTTCAAATTACAACTTCAGTTTCTAGTGCTGCAAGAAACAACAGCCCATTGTTCCCCTTCATTTTGTAATGTGAATATTGATCTATCTTCCTGCTACGAACACTGGGGCCGTTTTTATTTAAAGAGTTATGAAAAGAAAGTACTTTTGAGCCTTCTATTTGTGTGTATATGGCAGGTATATAATGTTATTAACTCCTGCCAAATAAAGGCATCCAGATAAAGGAATCCAGAGAGACCAGAGTAGGAAATATTCTAATTCAGGGTTGCTGAGTTGAAACAAATGAAGGGAAGTTCTGAGGTTCTCCTTTTGTCTTCTGTGTTGATCTTGAGGAGTTCTGAGAACTCACCTTGAAGCTCTGCCCCTCTAGTGGAGAAATGTTCATCTCAGTAAATTAACTGGAAGTTAGCAGCCTTTCCTAGATCACAAACGTTCCATACATGGACCTAAGTACTTCAGATTCATAGCATACATCCTCTGATGTGGGTATGCTTCAGCGTGAGGTTACTGCAGACAATAGAGGTGTGCAAATCCTGGATTAGTAGATCAGAATCTTGTGTTATCCTCAGTAGGTAAGCTATACATACTGATTATATTTGTAAAGCTGTGTCTATTCCTGTGCTATTAAGAAGCCAATAACATCAGAAACATCTATCAGTTTCAAAATTTCATTGTAGATGAGTCTTAGTGAATAATTCTAAGTGAATTATTTTGCAATTTTTAGAAACACATTTGACACATTGTATTTATATTTGTTTAAGTTTGTTTTTGACAAATGTATCAAAATTAATTCAACAACTTTCACAAAACCAACAGGATTGCTGGGCGGTGGTGGCGCATGCCTTTAATCCCAGCACTAGGGAGGCAGAGGCAGGCGGATCTATATCAGTTCGAGGTCAGCTGGTGTACAAGAGCTAGTTCCAGAACAGGCTCCAAAGCTACAGAGAAACCCTGTCTCGAAAAAAAAAAAAAAAACAAAAAACCACACACACACACACACAAAAGGACCCCCCCCCAAAAAAAAAGAAACAGGATCTTTGTATATTTCTGTATTCAGTTTTTATATTGTGAAATGCAAAGTTTTTCTTGTCAAAATGATGACAGGATAATGTTAGCTTTATAGAATTTAAAACTAATTATTTTCTTATGTGTTCATCTTTATCTAGGAAGCATTTTTTGGAAAAGATCTTCTAGATACCAGCAGACAAAACAAGCCGAGTTTAGATAATCTATCAGAAGATGCAGCTCAGCTTTCATATAAAACAGGTTTCTTGGATACTTCCTCAGATCCGCTACTGAGTTCATCTTCTGCTTCAGCAAAACCTGGAACTCAGGGTATGTAGATTAATTCACAGGTATTTTCTTTATGCCATATGTCATTTACCTTCTAGTTAATATAAACACTCCTTATAAATACTTTTGTTTGATTTCATATACATTAAGGTTAACTTTATTGAAATATAATTTATATTCAATAAAAGTAGCATTTTTAGTGGAAAGTTCTACAAGACTTTTCAAATGACTTGTCAAATTAACCTACCAGTATGATAATCACCAAAATTAGGAGTTGTGAGAAAAAACCTTTCAGTTTATACTTTAACTGTTAAAAGTTGACAGTGTCAACTACACAACCTTAAAGAAATTCTGATGTGTCAAAAACTGCAAAATGAAGTTGGGAGTGGTGGCACGTGCCTTTAATCTCAGTACTTGAGAGGCAGAGGCAGTGGAATCTCTGTGCATTTGAGGGTCTGCCTCCTCTGCGAAGCAAGTTGCAGGACAGGCAGGCCTACAAAGAGAAACCATCTCAAACAAAACAAGTAAACAAAAGCTGGAAAATGAATGTCTCCAGTTGGGAATTGTTTGTATATAGTATGATATATCCTCATGTAGTTTCTCACCACAAAAAGACACTCTGAACCAGTTAGTTCATCGTTGTGATAAGGGGCTGTCCAGTGTATAATTATTGTCACTTCTGATCTCCTGAGAACATGACTATTAAAGATTTCTCCTTCTGAATATAGTGGTATACGCCTTTAATCCCAGCAGTTGGGAGACAGAGTCAGACAGGTCTTTATTAGTTCAAAGCCTGCCTGGTCTATATAGTGAATTCTAGAAAAACCAGAGTTACATAGTGAGATCTTGTCTCTCAAAAGACCTAAACAAATGTATGTATGTATGTCTGTCTGTCTGTCTGTCTGTCTGTCTCCAGTAATTCTTAAATCATTAGTGAACAAAATTGCTCCTTGTTGAGAACCACTGTGCGGATGTAGGGCATGTAGGTACTATTAAAATCAGAAGAGGGAGAGTTGAGCGATGGCTCTTTAGGTAAATGGCTTGCTTTGCAGTTACAAGGACCTACGTTTGAACCCTAGAATATATGAAAATTCTGGATATGGTGGTGTTTACTTGTAATCCCAATATTGAGAAAGTGCAAGCAGGAAGATCACTGTGACTTACTGCCTAGACATTCTAGTTTAATTGTTGAGCTCAGGCCAGTGAGGCTCTGTGTTAAAGGGAGGTGGATTTTCCTGATGATGACACCTGAGATTGTCTTCCATGCTACACAACTCTACACATGCACACATGCATTGGTGTATGTGCACGTGCATACATACACACACACACACACACACAGAGAGAGAGAGAGGGGGGGGGAGGGAGGATATATATACTATCTATACAAACTTGCATGTACAGTTTTAAAAACTAGAGTCATGAAGGAGGCTAAAGATGTAGTTCAATTGGTAGAATCTTTAGCTGTCATGCATGAAGCATTGGGTTTGATTCCAGTACATCATAAACTGGATGAAGTGGCATGTGCCTATATTTCCATTTAAGAAGTGGAAGCAAGAGGGTCAAGTTCAAGATACAATCCATTATGTAGTGAGTTCAGAGGCAGTCTGGGCAGCATAAAGCCTTCAGCCTCATGAAGAAAAATATAAAGTGAAGGAAAGAGAGAAAACACGTGTGTTTTTCAGTATTCATATTAATTTAAGAGTTACAATCACAATGTTTTTTTCCTTGGAATCTATAGTACTACCAATTATAGTGTGATTTTTTTTTTCCTGGCAAGCTTTGTTTTGCACTTTGTTAAGTCTTTAATTTTATAAACTCATTTTAGAAAAAATATTGTAAGTAGAAGTATACTAAATAATGACTTTCAGTATTAAGTAATTAAAGTTTATTTTACCCATATTGTCCTGTCATGAAATACAATTGACTTCCTTATGCTATAGGTTATATCTGCAAAAACAAAAGACTAATTTAAGGGATTTGAGTACCTGAAGATTTTTCTATCTTTAGGGCTGTCTTACATACCAAAGGACAAAATGTGCAAACTTTTACTTTTGATTTGACTTCCTTGAAATAATTGCAGGCAGTTTTATCTCTTCTCAGGCGAATAAACAATGATTAACAAAGGATGGAAAGATGGAAACATGATTTTGTTTAGTCTTACCAGATTCATACAAATAATTTGTTTTATTTTATGATGTTTTTAAGTACTCATTAGTTCTTATTCATATGTTTTAAATATTCTATAATGACCTAGTTATTTCAAAGAATATGTTAGAAGTATTATGACGTGACTTGAGTTAAATGGCTGTTATTTGCATTTGAATTTTGTGAGGATAAGGTCTGAGTTGGATGGGGACAAAGGATAGGACATAAGTTGATACAAGAGTTTCTTACATAAAATTTCCTAAGATGTGATGATTTTGTAGTAAGATCAGAACTTAGACTAGAACAGCACTCATTACAAAACATAAAAAACATAAATTAATCTACTTCTTGCCTGTATATAGAAAGTTTAATGAATGAAAAGTTGCCTTATTGAAAGTTTTATTTAATGTAGACATGAGCACACTTAACAATGTAATATTTATTATTATTTTATGTACGTGGACATTTTACCTGAATGTATGTTGTGCACTAAGTTTGCAAATGATGCCCATGGAGGCCAGAAGAGGGCACAAATCCCTTGAAACTGGAGTTTAATTTGAAATGGTTGTGAACTGCCATGTGGATGCTAGGAATTGAATTTGGTCCCTTTAAAGAGCAGCCAGTGCTCTTCTCTGCTGAACCGTCACTCCAGCCCCAGGGATGGATGTTTTAAAACCTAGTCTTAAAAAGTTTGCGATATAATTTTTATATAGTAAGTTTTCATTACTTAAAAGCAAAAGGGCTTTTTCATTAAGTGCTTGCCCTGTAAACTAAAGGCCCTGAATTTGAGTTCAGAACTCATGTTAAAAAATTGGACATGGACACACACACACAAAAAAAATTGGACATGGTTTCATATGGTAGTAGTCCCAGTACCGGGAAGGTGGAGATAGGAAGATTCTCAGGGCTTGTTGATGGCCAGCCTAGTCTATTTAGCAAGCTTCAGGCCTGCAAAAGACCTTATTACTAAGAACAAGGTGAGTGGCACCTTACAAATGACACTGAAATTGGCCTTTAGTACCTTCCATATGCAAACACACACACACATACACACACACATATAGAAAATGAGTAGCCATAGATGTCCCCTCATAACTACAGTATTTTTTCTTTTAAATATACCAATCTGTAGAAAGTATTTCATTCATGTACTTAATTTGGAGTATTATAAATATATATTTAAAGTTTTATGTATTTTACAAATATGGATGTTTAACCTGCATGTATGTGTGATATGTGCATGTCAGGTGCACTAGAAAATCAGAGAGAGCTTGGATCCCCTGGAACTGGTGTTGTAGATAGTCATAGACCACAGTATGGCTGCTGGGAACCAAACCTAGTCCTTTGCAAGAGGAAGTACTCTTAATCACTGAGCCATCTCCCCAGTTCTGTGGTGTGGGTGGGTGGGTGGGTATGGTGTGTATTTTAAAGATTTATTTGTTTTTGTGTATGTGAATATTTTGCCGCCTTTTATGTTTTGTTCGCCATGTATGTGCACTGTCCACGGAGGCCAGAAGGGGGCATTGGATCTCCCAGAACTGGAGTCATAGTTGGTTGTCAGCTGACATGTGGGTACTGGGAACTGAACCTGTGTCCTCTGCCAGTGCAAAAAAAAAAAAAGATTCTTAATCACTAAACCATCTCTCTAGCTCCTGGAGTGTTATTTTTATGCCATTAAAAAAAATTTGTTGCCTTTAATTAAAATACACTGAAAAAGCTTAAAACTTTCAAATATTCTTAGTTGAGTGGCTAAGGTAATTACTACTGGTAACCTTAGTAGGAGTTTTACTATTTATTTTCTTACTTGATTATGTAAAAATCTTTAGAATCCTCCTCTTTTCATTATTCACATTTTTCATTTTTACTTCTCCGTAGTTTGGTCTCTACTTTAAAAATAAACTCCAAAGTCAACTTCAACTATTTCAACTTTTCTACCATGCAGTAGTAACTCACATTACCTTTCATTCACATGGCACAATGTTGCCAGGCTTCTTTTCTTCACCAGTCTGTTCTGCTCGTGTCTATCAGTATTCTTATACTTCCCTCATATTCAACAGCAAAGCCCAGTCTTCACCACACTCTTGCACTGGCTATGACATCTTGTCTCTTTGACTCTCGCTGTGATTCCTTTAGCCACTTTGGCCTTCTGTGTCAGCTAGGATAGCTGATTCCCATATGTGTACAGTGTTTTCACCTACTTTGTCCTTTGTTTTATTTAGCTCTCTAAATAATTTAGAAAAATGAGAACCAACAATGGAATCAGTTAAGAAAACAATCACAAAATTACTTGAATTAGCAAACTCCTTTCTATAGTAACCCTAAATATAGATGGTCTTATTTTGTTTTGAAACAGAATGTTGCAGTGTAACCATGGCTTATCCAGAACTTGGTATGGAGATCAGGCTGACCTCCAACTCTAGAGACCCTCTTACCTCTGCTTGCTGCTAAGCTGAAGCTTGATCCTTAAGTCCCACATAGTGGATGGAGAAAATCCGTTCCTGCAGTCTTCCTCTGACCACTCACACAGACTGAGGCTTGTGCATGCTTTTTCCTTCCTTCCCATACTAAGTGTAGAAGAGAGAGTATTAACAAACTTTTAAGTGTATTAACCAAAAAAGACAGAAGATTCAAAGTGAAGCGAAAGGAGATGAAACTAGTGATGAAAAAGGAAACATAACAGATACTGAAGAAATTCAGTGGCTAATTAGGAGATACTTGGAAAATCAAACTATAAAAGCTAGAAAATGCTGAATTTGCATAAATTATTACTCACGTATGACCTATTATTTAAATCTCTCTCCTCTATTCCGCTGCCCTTCTCTCCTCCTTCCCTCCCCTCTTCTCTCTTCTCTCTTCTCTCTTTCTCTTCGTCGTCGTCGTCTTCCTCTTCCCCT